TAAACATGCACATCTCCCTATATAGCATCACATTTCAAGTACATAACTGGCATCTCTCTAGGGACACAATGGACAAACTTCATGAATGGTTCCAAAAAGCTTTACTCAAGCACTGAATTTCCCCTCCAGCACTATTAGCTTCAGTTTCAGTCATGGTCTGCCACATTCTCTTTCATTTCCACAGACCTTTTCTTAATATTCCAGGTCAACTTCATTTTTCAGAAATACACTGTGACACACTCATACAATTACACACTCATACAATTCTCCATAGTATCCAGATTGTTTAGGACCTGTTGTTTATTAGTGCATAAATTCTGAACTCCTCCAATGCAAGCACTAGTAAAACTTCCATAAGTACTTATATATCTTTAATTACAATTATCATTATAACTGCGTTTACTTGGAGAAGATGCTCACCGTGTCTTGCTGACCTACTATTTGTGCCCAGCCCGTCATAATCTCTGTTAGGACTCTGGGGGAAGTGACTATGAAATGAACATAGTCCAAATACATCCATTTTACATTTTTCTCACAGGATTACAGGATATTTTATTACTTATCCTTGCAAAACAGATCTTGGATATTCTGGAGTCACACCTCATGAGTAGAGCTGAGAGTTGCAAAATACGCAATGATTATTGCAGAGGTTTTCACAAACAAAAAAAAAATACTGTTTTTTTTTTTTAAAGCCACGGTAATATTACTGATGAAGGAAAAGTTGTTGAAATAGATAAAGGTGCTCACCAGGAGGATGGTTTTGGTGGCTCTGGACTCAGGTGAGGATATGGAGGAGACATTGATCCCATGACTGTTTTGGACTCATAGTGCAAATATATACCATTTACATCTTTCTCATAAGGGTAAGGGAGTTTGTATTCCTTTTCCCAGCAAAGCAGAGCCTGGATATTCTAGAGTCACGACTCATGAGCAGAAAGGGGCTGATAGTTGGAAAACATGCGGTGATTATGGCAGAGATGTTCATAATAAACAAATCAGGATCTTTCAAAACACTCAAAACAATATAACAGATGGAGGAAAGGGTGTTAAAACAGACAAAGGTGCTCACCACAAGAAGGACAGTTTTGGTGGCTCTGGACTCAGGAGAGGATATGGAGGAGACATTGATCCTGCGAAAGTTTTGGACCCTCTGCTTGTGCCTGTACAGGATAAAAACCGTGGAGCCACTGGCCAAGATCATGACCACAAAACATAAGACATCAGGGAATGATATCAACACTGCATATAATAAGTCTTCGATTTGGTCATGACGAACAGAAGAACAGTGTCCAAAATATTTCCTGTTTGTGAAGTTTTTGTTGCTCAAATTTCCAGTCATATACATAGGATACACAACATTCACCAGCATGTTCACGATCCAGCACAGGATAATGGAAGGGAAAACCAACTGCAGAGCTTTCACTTTAAGCTCTGCCCACCTGGAGGTCTGGGGACTAATGGTGATGGCCTGGAAGACACTCAGGAGGAAAGTGGTGCCAATGGACACCCCCCTGCTCACTCCACGAACATACGGGAAAAACCTGCATGTAAAGTCACCGTCAATGTGGTGCCACCCATAATTTGTCATTGTATTGTGGTATCCATTAGAGAACAGAACCAAGATGTTGGCGACAATCAGGTTCTTGACAATCAAATCTATGGTCCTCAGCCTACATCCAGTGCAATAAAGGAAGAGATAATGGTAAAGAAGAGAGACATTCCCCAGGATTCCAAACAGAGTCTGTGATAAGAAGACCGTTCTTATTGCCAAGTCACCAGCAGCCATGCTGGCAGGTCTCGGTGACTGATGGGTGTCTTCTGAGCTAGAGGGTCCTGAATGGGAACATGAGGTGTGGAACACAGGTACCATGTAAACTGAAAGGCAACATTCTGTGCTTACAAATACTTCCTGCGGTTTAGTTGCTCAGTCATGTCTGACTCTTGCGACCCCATGGACTGTAGCCTGCCAGGTTCTTCTGTCCATGGGATTCTCCTGGCAAGAATACTGGAGTGGGTTGCCATTTCCTTCTCCAGGGGATCTTCCCAACCCAGGAATTGAACCCGGGTCTCCTGCATTGTAGGCAGATTCTTTACCAACTGAGCTATGAAGGAAGCCCCTACAAATACTTCTACTGAGAAATAATTACTTAAAATTTTTCTGTCAGGTCAAGGCTTCCAGGGGCTGAATGTATAATCATTAAAAAACACTTGAAATGTATGAATCACTGCAATGAAAGACACACATGCGTTAATGTCTTTGTTCTTCACAAATTTATGAGGCAGACACTATTATCTTCCTTATAAAAATGAGGCAAACGTCTGCACAGAGAAATGAAGTATTTGGTTTAAATTCACTCACTGTCTGGGGACAGATGGCTAGTGGGGACTTGACCCTGACTTGGCTAATAACAACAGTGGTGCATTTAATCCAGAACATACTCAAATACCAGTCACCTGTGTCCTTCAAATAAAGCACATCTAAATTTAGTTTGGTTTTTCACCTTGTCATTTCAATTTAGGTGGCTGATATTTTATTTAAAAATTTAGGTACTAATAAATTTCCACTTACACAAATACAAATCTCCACTTACACAATTACAAAATTTGAATAAAGAGATCTTAATTATATGTAGATGCCCTTAGGACTTCCCAGGCTGTCCAGTGGTTAGGACTCCCTGCTTTCATGGCCCAGGATGAGGTTGATCCCTGGTTAGGGAACTAAGATCCCACATGCCACTAGGAGCAGCCAAAAGAAAATTTTTTTTAATGTAAATACACTGCCTGCAATATAAACTGCAGGCAACTGTACCATGATACTGAATATACACAAGAACAGCTCAATATTAGGATGGAAACAGAAAGACTCATTTACTCTCATTCCAGGACAAAAGCACAATGGACAGGTCTCAGGATGTATGGGACAGGAAACACTGCTGCCTGATTAATAGTGTATTGTAGAAACAAAATTAGTACTAATTTCACATCATCTACCTATCTTTTAATACCTGAGTCAAATCCAAGTATTACCAGTAAGGCAAGATTTGCAAAAGATATGAAAATATAAGGCACATGTAAATGGAATGTTAAGGTGAGTAACTTGTGTACGGCACCAAGCACATACTTTGTTGGATCAGTATTACAATATCTGAAAGTGGCAGAAATAATAAATTAAACTGGAGCCTAAAAATAATATCTGAAATGTATAAAGTTCTAGTTTTCTTAAATGCTGCTTCCCTAACTTTAAGTGGGAAGAGTCTCTCCATAATCAGTAGAGTCACAATAATTAAATCTTCTCAGCACTTCACACACCCAGTTACAGGAAACATTTCTACTCCAGCAATGGCTGCCAGACACACTGTTACAGCACTGGGTCCGATGATTCCTCCAGACTCATCACACTCTTTGTTACAGACTGGACTTTTATGTGCTCATCTCTGAACCCTGAAATTTATGTCCGTGATTCCTGGAAAGTAGACTGAACATCATATTAACTTGGGAAATACAGTCCTTAAGTACATAAAATACCACACTGGCATTAAACCACAACAGTCTCTGTCAGTGAGACATACATACATCACATTAGGGGCATCAGGGATTGGTGAAAGGTCTAGGACCCCATCTCCCTTTTCTGTCTCAGTTCAGACTCAGGATTTACCCCACCCTCCTGCAGGGCTTTGGTGCTGGACCAGGTTTACACAAGGGAGAATCCCTTTGCCCTATATGTTCACTTACCAGATTGCTGATACAAATCTATCCCTTGCAGATTCTACTTCTCAAGTGACTACAGAGAAAACCATTGACTTTTTCCTGCTACCTGGATGGTGGGCTCAGTGTGAAAGTGAAAGCAATCAGTAAGTGTGCAGGAGGGGTAGCTGGACCCTGAGATATGAATTTGTGAACCTGTGACCTCACCTCCCCTCAGAACTGCAGTTTTCATGTCACCTGTAATAGCGCTGGCAGGAACAGGCTTGGGAGCTCGGATTGTTTTTGAAGATACTTTGCAAGTTCCTAATTGCCAAAGATAATTATAAGTTTCCAGTTAATATGTCTTAAGAGACTATTAGAGTGTTTGTGACAGATGCTTACTTTTTCATGATCCCTGGAGGCAGACAGGGCTCACATGCAGGGAGCAGAAAGAAATTAGTATTGACATGTAAGGGACTGGCTGCATGTATATATCTCAATGGAGGTTCTGCCTCACTGAGAAATGCTACCCAGGAAACCTCTTTCCTAATTTCATACACTGAGCTGGACCATCAATTAAAGAAACAGAATTTCTTCAAACATCTGAGGTTTTCAAAACAGATACAAGTAACAAGAAGGACATGATTTCAACGATCTACATTAGACATCGTGGTACTCATATATGCAACTCAATATCAATGAATATGTAAATTGTTAGGAAAATAAACTTTACTGATATGGACCTTCAGTAGTTTTAGAAGCAGAAGTGTATATTATCCATAGAAGAAAGAGAGAAGGCTCTAAAAGAGACCCATGCAAATAAAAAAACCAGGATCAGATGGCTTAAGAGGGAGACTCTACTATTCTTGTAACAGTCAGATAAGCCAGTGCTACTGATTAATTCAAGACTACAGTGAGGTCAACAGAGTACTCTACACAGTTTTGTGGAAATTTTTCATTAAGGAATTATGATTGCATTTTTAATTAAGAAACATTTTCAATGGGTCAAGAAAAATGCTTATATATTATGAATTGAATTTAATTTTACAGGTTTCTCTTACAAATTAACTCTTTAATTCAGGTTTATTGTGCATTCACTCCTAGTTGTCAAGTCTATTGTTAGAGCCACAACCCATCCTACACACACACAAACACCCAAGCTCATTTACACACACATGCAGGGACATTCACACTCAAATACATACTTGCACACATTCACATACTGGTACACATACACAATCACTTATGTCCTCATACAATTTCAACTGCACACTCACAACCATGAATGCACACACTGAACACATGAAAATTCCCTCTTGAATATACAAATACTCTTTAATATAAACACACACACAAACTCACAATTACACTGATTCATGAAAGTACAGTCACTATGCATGTACATCAATGACATGATCGTACAGAGTAGAATAGCTGTATCTCCAAACTTCTGGATGCCTCCAAATAGGAGCCTTCCTACACTTTCCAGTCCTTCCAACCCTGCAACAGTCACAAATACAATATTTACCATAATGCACAGCACCTAAAATATGTGGTGAATATTGCTACCTGGTATTAATACACACTCTGGAACTTGGAGTGTTTTGGCAAGTCACAGTGTGTGGGTGTGTGATAGAGTGGACAGGAGCCATAAGGATAAGATGGTGGTGGAGTGAACCTGGGGGCCTGGGGTTATAGAGAGCGCAGAGAGAGAAAAGCCAGAGGGATTTTGTGTGCGTGCCTGATAAGTCGCTTCAGTTGTGTCCAACTCCTTGTGACCCCATGACTATAGCCCACCAGGCCCCTCTGTCCATGGGATTTTTCCTGGCAAGAATACTGGAGTGGGCTGCCATTTCCTCCTCCAGGGGATCTTCCCAAAGCACAGATCAAACCCGTATTTCATGTGTCTCCTGCATTGCAGGTGGATTCTTTACCGCTGAGCCACAGCTACCAATAAAAACCCACGAAAGAACAGTTCAATGTGACCTACTTTAACATCCCACAAAGTGTGTGATAACTGTGATTCAACACTCTAAAGGTATAAACAGGGAGTATTTTGATAAAGATGACCCACTGATATTCTCCCCGTTGAATAAATTGTGTTTGGTGGAAGATGGTAAAGCTATTTCTACTGACATAAAAATATCTTCTTCATAAACAACCTGATTGAGGTAAGCAATTTGAGAAAAATTAACAAGTCTGACAATATTTATGTAAACATTGAAGCAAAACAACATATTACAAAATTCATTTTTATACCAATTATGATATAATATCAGGTATACTTTTTTAAAGCCACATTTTAAAAATAATAGATGAAAAACAAAAAAATGTTACACTTGAATATTAAAATGGCATCAGTTGTAGAAGAATAAATGAGAATTTTACTTCATTTATTTTTCCTTTATTATTCTCTATTGTTTCTGTAACAAACTTCCATGAAATATAGCACCTGAAACAACACTCATTCATTTTTTGATAGGTCAGTCAAGTCAGGGCCAAAATCAAGACGTCTGCTCACCTGGGCTTTTAAGTGGAGCCTCTGGGGGAGAATTACTTGCAGGCTGGTTCATGTCTTTGCAATTCTTCTTCACAATCTCTTCTACATGGCTCCCTCTATTGGAAAGCCAGTGTTAGCACACTGACACTGTCCACCCCACCCGACCCGCCACCAACCCCGTTTTCAATCTCTTCTACTTCATTTGCTTCTAACCACCCTTTCTGTCCTTTAGGGTCATGTAACTACAAACAGCCTACCCAGATAATGCAGGAGAATCTCCCTACTTTACAATCAGAGGACCTGTAACCTTAGGTGCATCTGCAAAGCCCCTTATGCCTGCAATGTGACATGAACCACCAAAGGATAATGTCAGGGGATAGAGATCTGCCTACCTCACTACGACAAAGGTGGACTGTTTTCAGTGAAAAACATATTTGTGGTCATATCCAAAAAACTATTGCTATATCCAGTGGCTACTTTTTGGAATGGTTTCACACAAAAAACAAACATCACTGACAATTTTTCAAAACTGTTTATAGTTTTTTTTTTTCATTTAGTTTTATTAGTTGGAGGCTAATTACTTTACAATATTGTAGTGGGTTTTGTCATACATTGACATGAATCAGCCATGGATTTACATGTAGTTTATTTCTTATATAAAGAATGTATTAAATTTTAAAAATACGAAAATAAGGGGAATTTCATCAAATCAGTTTGGGGTATAAAAGCTCTTGAAGACATAAAATGGGGAAGGGGTCAGGTCTCCTGTTGCCAACACTGAGGCCCAGGACCAGTAAAGAGTTGCTCCTGCCAGCTTTCACACTAGTCCCCGTCCATGCCCAAAATTTCCATGGAGGAGTAAAGTCCTGATGCTGTGGTATTCTCTCAATTTCTACCAGGGGACCTACTATATATTAAAACATTATTAAGAGGATTTTTTTTTTTGGCCATGCCATGTGGCTTGCAGTATCTTGGTTTCCCAATCGGGGATCAGCCCATGCCCCTGGTAGCAGAAGACTGAAGTACTAATCACTGGACCACCAGGGAAGTCCCAGGAGTATTTGGCATGAGCAGGATTTTTGTTTCATGAGTCAAGCATAAAAAAATGACACATGAATGACTTCTGACTCCACTGTAAATGGGGGTATTAATAATAGAGAACGAATTAGTGACCCCCAATCTGCCCTGATACCTCCATCCCCTTTATAATCCAAATTGTCTCCCCCTCCCCCTCCATCTCCCAAAGACCTTTACCGCATGACTCCTTAGCTCCTTATCCATCTCTAGCACCTGTCCCATCACCCTCAAAGCCCATGATCTACATTTTCCCGTCCAACCTCCTCCTGACCCTTTTATTTCCACACCCCACCTCACTCTACCCCTCCTTGGAATCCTCTCCGCCTGACAACTATATACCCTTAACCAGTTCCTGCACTGCAGCTGGCTAATCCTTGCCTTCCATGGCCTCCCTGTTCCTCATGGATCTTTATTTTCCCCTATTTTTCTTTATTTTCTGTGAGTCAGATTTGTGGGGCTTTCTCATAAAGATATCAAGCTTTATGTGGAGACAATCTATTTTTCCAAAATCATCATATTCATGGCAACTTTCCATATGCTCAATTTATTTTGCTTCTCTTGGTGCCACAGTACCTGATCAGCAAATTCACAGACATCGTTTAGAAAAAGAACAAGGAAATCATACACTATGACCATGTAGGAAAGGGTTTATCCAGCAGACATAGGCTGGTCAAACTCTGCAAATTTTAAAGAAAGACGTGTCTTCAGCATTGCTTTACTCTTGGAAAATAACCTCTGAACCCTGGACTATTCTCCTGATAGAGTGTTTTTTATATACTTGAGTCATTGGGCCATACAGGACCAGCGGGACCAGAGAAGTTAATCCTAACAATGCCATTTATGACAAAGAGCTGTTTCTGCTCTGGAGGGCTGGGGTCTGAGTAGCTGACGTCAGTCACATGGGGCCTCAGAGCTACCTGCATGACCCCCAGGAAAACCCTGCACTAAGGCTCAGGTGAACTTCCTACGTTGGCAATTCTTCATGTATACTTGTCACATGTTCAGAGCAAACTCACATCATCTTCATGTCACTTCCCTGGGAAAGACATGTGGAAACTTAAGACTGGTATCTTGTGAAACTTGCCCCATGTACCGTATCCCTTTGCTGATTCTAACCTGTATCCTTTCACTGCAATAAAGAGTAACCTTGAGTGAAACCACTTCTGAATCTTGGGAGTCCTTCTGTGAATCATCAACCTTGAAGATGGCCTTGGAGACCACTGTCAAATCATGCTAAAGAACAAAACCAAGAATTCCCTAATGGTCCAATGGTTAGGACTCAGAGCTTTTACTGTGGGGGCCTGGATTCAATCCCTGGTTGGGAAACTAAGTACCCATATGCCTTACAGTGTGATCAAAATAATAATACTACTATCAATAAAAACAGTTTTAGAAATTTCATACTGTGGTAATAAGCTCTGTTACTAAGTCTAGAAGCCCAGGCTAAGGCCACTGTTTCCACTGTTTCCCCATCTATTTGCCATAAAGTGATGGGACCGGATGCCATGATCTTCGTTTTCTGAATGTTGAGCTTTAAGCCAACTTTTTCACTCTCCTCTTTCACTTTCATCAAGAGGCTTTTTAGTTCCTCTTCACTTTCTGCCATAAGGGTGGTGTCATCTGCCTATCTAAGGTTATTGATATTTCTCCCAGCAACCTTGATTCCAGCTTATGCTTCTTCCAGCCCAGCGTTTCTCATGATGTACTCTGCATATAAGTTAAATAAGCAGGGTAACAATATACACCCTTGATGTATTCCTTTTTCTATTTGGAACCGGTCTGTTGTTCCATGTTCAATTCTAACTGTTGTTTCCTGACCTGTATACAGGTTTCTCAAGAGGCAAGTCAGATTTTAGGTGTTGTGTTTTGTACTAAATATTGTGATTTTGCTTGTTGCAAGGTTGGATGGACTGGAAAGTGTAGGAAGGCTTCCATTTTGAGGCATCTAGAAGTTTGCAGATAGAACTCTTCTTTTATGGAAGATCATGTCACTGAGACACGAATGTGCATGGTGACTGTGTTTTTAAGAAAGAGGGGTATTTTGAGTTAGTGTATCTATGAATATTTGTATATATGCATTGGAATTTTCATGTGTTCATTCAGTATGTGTATTAATGCTGTGAATGTCCATTGAGATTTATGAGGATGTGGATGTGTATATGCATAAGTATGTGAATGTGTATGACTATATGTTTGAGTATGTGAATGTCCATGGATGTATTCTTGCATGTCTGTTTAATGACTTTGTATGTGTGTTGTGTGTGTAGAATGGGTGGTCCACCATCACGGCTCTAACAACTAACTTGGCAATTGGGAGTGAATGTATAGTGAACCTGGGTCAAAGATTTGTTTGTGAATGGGATCCCCTGATAACTCAGTTGGTAAAGAATCTGCCTGCAATGCCGGAGACCTCAGTTCGATTCCTCAGTCAGGGAGATCCTCTGGAGAAGGGTTAGGCTACCCACTCCAGTATTGTTGGGATTCCCTTGTGGCTCAACTGGTGAAGAATCTGCCTGCAATGTGGGAGACCTGGGTTCGATCCCTGGGTTGGGAAGATCCCCTGGGGAAGGGAAAGGCTACCCACTCCAGTATTGTGGCCTGGTTCTCAAAGAGTAGGACACAACTGAGTGACTTTCATTTTTGGTTTTCAGGGAAAACCTAAATAATTCAACTCAATATATAAATCTTTTTTCCTGACCCATTAGAAATGTGCTTCTTAATTTGAAAAGCAATCATAATGTCCTAAGAAAAATTTTGAACCAAAGAAAGTGTAGAGGACTGTTTTGACATTTTGATGGTCTTGAATTAAGTGACTAGCATTGGTTTCTGCTAGTTACAGGAGTAGTACAATCTCCGTGTTAATCCATCAATCCTGGTGCTTTTATTTGTATGGGGTCTTTTATAGCTTTCTCTCTTTCTTCTATGGAAGGTATCTCCTTCTGCCTCTAAAACTACTGAAGGTCATTAGCAAGAAAGTTTCTTTTCCTACAAATTTACATATTCATTGATATTGAGTTTTATATATGAGTACAGTGATGTCTAATGTAGATCGTTGAAATCATGTCCTTTTTCTTACTTGTGTCTATTTTGAAAACCTCAGATATTTGGACCAGTTCCGCTTCTTTGCTCATACTTTAGTGGGTGGTACAGCTCAGTGTATGATTTAGTAAAGAGCTGTCCTGAGTAGAGTTTCTCAGTGAGGAAGAATCCCCATTCAGATATATAGGTGCAACGAGTCCCTTACAATCCGAAATTCTCCCTGCTCCCTGCATGTAAGCTCTGTCTGCCTCCAGGGATCATGGAAAAGTAGGCATCTGTCACAAACACTCCAATAGTCTCTTAAGACATATTAACTAGAAAGTGATCATTGTCCCTGGTAATTAACAAATGGGAAAATATTTTCAAAAATAATCCCAGCCCCCAAGCCTGTTCCTGCCCGTGCTGCTACAGGTGGTGTGATAATTGCAGTTCTGAAGGGAGGTGAGGTCACAGAATCACAAACTCATATCTCAGGGTCTAGCAACCCTCTTGCACACAGACTGATTGCTTTGATCTTGGTGTTGAGACCACCATTCAGTCAGCAGGAAAAACCTGGTGGGTTTTCTCTGTATTCATATGAGAAGCAGAATCTATAAGGGAAGGATTTGTATCATTAATGAGGTAAGTGAGCATATTCGACAAACGAATCTTCTGTGTATGAAGCTAGTCCTGCAGGAAGGTGGGATAAATCCTGAGACCTGAACTGAGAGAGAAAAGGGAGATGGGCTCCGAGACCTTTCTCCGATCCCTAATGGCTCCTAATGTAATGTATGTAATCCTGGCTGACTGTGATTTTTGTGGTTTAATGTAAGTGATCGTGAAATCTGAAATTTCACATGCCTAATGGCTACATTTCCCAAGTTACTTTTCAGGAGTCATAGACATAAATTTCAGGTTTTAGAAGTGAGCACAAAGTACTGCATAGTTTTTGTTGCTTGGTCTCTAAATCGTGTTGGACTCTTTTGCGACCTTATGGTTCAGGCCCTTTGAGGCTCCTCTG